TTATAAATATTTTAAGCATAAACTGGACATATAGTATATGAACCTTGCAAAACCACATAAAAGCAAAATATAGACTTTATTTGTAATATAATAAATAAATGAATCTGTGATGAGAGAAAGCAGTGAGAACCTGATTTAAAACAGTGAATGTGACACAGTGGGTATGAATGGCTGATTCTGGAAATACTTATAAAGCAAAATCAATGGATTCCAAACAATTCCTTTGGCTGGGGAATGGATATAGAATAATTTTGAGTTTATTAACCTTATCTATTGAAGAGAAGAGATTCTTGGGCCAGCTGATACATTTCAACTGTGTGTCAGTTGAGATGGATAAATAATTACAATATATTTGATGAAAGGACTCTAAGATTCTGAGTTTATTTTGTACGAAGGTCAGAGGTTTAGCGGTAATTGGCCTTCAAGTCCAATGTCATCCCATACCAAAATTCCAGCAGTCTATCACGATCCTAAATACAACTTTATTAAGAGGCAGACTAAGCCTAGAAGTGTTGAGAGACCTTGATGGTCAGAGTTTGCTTTCTATCATGGCCTGACAGCTCTCTCCAAAACTTGGCAACATGAGGGAATCTCTCTCCAGTGAGACTTCCTGCTTTCTACCTGCTCTTGTCTGGAGAATGCCTCTTGACCTAGAGAAGTGACTTTATTTGAAAGCTATCCCTAACCTTGGATACCTGATTTATCTATAGTGTGACTGGTGGAATAATTTCTTGCTAGAAGCTTTCCCCTTGCTGTACATATGGTTACTAAGACTTTTACTAGGATCTTTGCAATAGGAATCTACTACCACAAATGAAAACTTATGACAGGAGTGTGCCACTAAATGCAAATTAGGGATTGTCTCCAGGCTCCCAAATCCTATATATTTCCTATACTCTAGAAATAAAACTGAACTGATTCATCAAAGTCATCTCCCATAGGGCTATCTCTATCATATCCACAGACACCCCTCCCCCTCTCAGACTGGACAAAGACCCCCAGGAAGAAGGAGAAATCACATAGAAAAACTTCAACAGTCACATCTAAATGACAGAAATGAAGTTTGTATCTCCCCAGCATGCAGTCTAAGAGCTCCAAAGCCTTTGTTACTTGCTTCTCCCCAGTCCCTGCCATGCATTTCTCAGCATCTCTCCTATTCTGCTGGTGTGACTATGGTCTCATGGCCCCTTTCAATTAATGAAGATAATCAGATGACGTTATTTGTCAAATTTGGATTTCTGCAAGATCTGGGACGGATCAATCTTCCCTGAGTCATGTGAGCAGGTAGAATGTATTTTAAAAACAGCAGTGAGTTCTCCATAAAAGGAGAGGACAATTACATGTGCCCCACATTCCTGTCTCTGACACGGGGGTAACAATACACCCTTGGGAAGTGTAGGAACAGAAAGAGCCAAGAACGATTTACTGAATAGAATAGGGCAAGATTAGATGTGGTACCCATAGGGTGGGATTCAGAGAGACAAAAGGAGAGGCACACTTGAGAAATTTCCGTAAAAGAAAAATTTAAAGTACATTTTTCTATACTATTGAATGAGAAACCTTTGTGGAATCCATTTCTTTCTTTCTGTCATTGAACATTTTAAGTATATATCTCTGGCACTTTGCTTTTCCAGGATCACTGATTTTCAGCTTCATCTTTTCTCTTCCTTTGTCACTTTCTTTATTATATCCTGCAGCAGAAGGATATAAACCATGTTTCTGGTTTTTATTCTAAGTAGCATGAAAAGATTTTGAAGTGTGAAGTAGATCCAAGGGGAAAATAACTCTCTTGGCATAGATGCTATTGCTATTAAATTACCACCTTAAGTAGATGTACATAGAGGAGACACAGTTAATTTCACAGGAAGATGGGAAGGGCCACTAAGGTAATGAACTTTATTGAGAGTGCTTTTAATTCCATTATGCAGGTTTAAGAAGCTTTCTGAGCAAGTCAGACCACTGAATTGATAAAAGAAGCATTTAGTTAGCAAATGCCTTTGTGCTTCCCGGCTAACTGGTGTGTTTGCTTTAGAAACGAGTGTTTTTCACCTGAGAGAGGCAAGTACACTTCTCTAACCCAGTAGTCGTCTCAGAAATAGATGAGCATGCATGTGTGCGTGTACGTGTCTCTGTGTGTATGTGTCTGTGTGTGTTTTAGTGGGACAGTCATCATCATGAAGTAGCTAAGGGATATATTAAGTAACTTTTCATGGATATGTGGACTGCATAATTTAAAACTGTCCCGGGGCGCCCATAAATATGCATAGGTTTTGTTTCCTTATTGTACAGTTTTAGAAGAAAGAAAGAAAAATTTGTTTCGACAATTTCTACCCCTTTAGCCTTAGTTAGACCTCCGTGTTGAATGGTGAGCATTCATGAGGAAACATGCCATCTGCTCTGCAGAGTATTTCCTAAGATCTTCTCAGAGTGCTCATTCCTTCTCACGTAATTTTGTCTTTAGAAGGCACATCAACTGCCGATTTCAATAGAGGAATCCATTAGACTCTGTGTCAAAACAATAAGACTGGAGTTTGGGATGTTATTTGATAATTTGTTAATTTATCTTGCTATAGTTAATGGCACCATTTAACACATTCTGTATATAGTATATAGTGGTTGTGCTGTGATCATGTGTGAGTTCCTTGGATCTTGATTTTTTTTTAAATATTTTTCTGTTGTTTTTCTGTTTTCTGTGGCCATGCATTATCTGCTACTACACAAGCTGTATTTGTTTGAAAGATAATCTCCATCCTGTAAGGACACCATAAGCCTTTCTTCGACTTTGAAATGGCAGCCCAGTAAGCAACAGGTAGTCTTAAAAAGCCCTGAGAATTTTGGGAAGAAATTCCACACAATGATTTTATTTGCTTGGGTCACTGCTTGATAAATCAACATTTGGGAGTGCTGTAATTAGTGATCAGCACGGGGCATTGTGTTCAGCTGCTTAGTGTTTAAAGATCGGGAATCTTTAAATCATTACTTCTAGGTCTCTTTTAATTACTACACTCGGGGACATGGGGTATATGTTTTAATTGTTTGTTTTTAGACTGTAGCCAAAGTTTAACAAGTTGCTATTCCAGGCCCTGTAGACATATGTACATTCCCCAGCGATGGCCTCTCTTGTTTGACCGCTAGGTGGCAGACGAGCTTTGCAGTTCCTGTTTGTGCACGTTGGTTGCTTGAGCACTGTCTCAGTGTCTTCCTCCAGTCGCTGAATCCGATATAAATGTATGAAGGAGCAGATGCTATATGTGACATCCAACGCCATTAATAAAGCACAATGCAACAACTTTGAGCCAAGCTCTTAACTTTAAAAGGTCCGGTGAAGCCACTGCTTTGTTAATGGGTTGAGAGCAAAGAATCCTGAAATGAAGACTGTTTTTTCTGACGTTCCCTCTGCCCCAGGTTACATTTGTGTGTGATTTTGAACCAGGGGACAGGACTAGTGCATAAAAGAGAGACAATTGGCAGCCCACGCATACACTGCTTCTTGGAAAGACCCTGGGCGCTCCACCTAGCTTTGCTCCTGGGATGTTCCCCTGCCTGCTGCAGAGGGGTTATTGTGGCAACAAAAGCAAAGGGAGGGAGAAACAGCACACAAAACTAAATCGGCTGGGTTGAAAATTCGTGCGGTTTTGAGGATTTGGAACAGTGAGAGGATAATTATAGTGAGTTAAAACGGGAGAAGAATCTGGTTGGAAAACAAAAATTGTTAAAGGGATTTGCTAACTGCATCTCCACGACGTGGTTTGGGAGCTAGGACCTCCTGCAACTTGGGGAACTGGAATGGTGAAGTCAGAAAAGTGCTTGTATCAAACAGACACTCACATTTGTAGAATATGTGTTACTGTGTTGTGGAGGAAATCTGGGAATGTATTGTTAACGAGGCCTTTGTATTCCAAAATAAATATAACTCTCCTCTTGGGAGAGAATAGGGCTTATGAAGGATGAGAAGAATGGAAAGGGGGTTCCTATCGACCCGAACAGGGAGGTTTGCAGCAATGCATTTTTCTGAGAAGACAATAATCAGTATGATCTATTCTAAACTGATCCGCCTACGTCTGCCGCCACAGCCAGCACCCGATGCAGGGTGAATGGCACACAGCAGCCCCCCAAATGTCACGGTCTAGCCAGTGTTCACCAATTAAAACTAATAAACATGCCTCCCCTCACCGTGGATGTGTCTCCAGTCCTACAGGCAGCAGGGCAGGCTACAGCAGGGCATAATAACAGCAGTAGTTGCAGGAGCAGCCAGAGCCCTGGGCTGCAGGTGCACTTGGCTGGAGACAGAGAAGGGCGCAGTGTGGCGCTGGCATTGCCTGCTCACAAATGCAGGCAGAACTGTGTTGTTTACAAATTGATAGCAGAGGGGATTTGGTAAGGGAGTCTTGCGCACTGCATTCAGTGTTCTGCACAGCCCAAGTGGTGTCTGCACTGTCTGATGGGGTTCCAGTCACCCTAGAAAAGGAATTTCTTTTATTATCACCGCAGTGTATCTTAGCAGTTTGCACAGGCCCAGGTCTATAAGGTACATAAATCTCCCTGGTGGGAACACCAAGCTTTGATGTTGAGGGCAGAAGACTCTCTGTCTGAATCAATCTCTTCTAGGTCTTACGAGTTTTCAAGATACAAAGAAACTCACTGGGGACGTAGCCTGAGAACAGGAATCAAGAAATGATACAGAACCAAAATGGGATTTTAAAGGAGAGGAATTGAGCCTCCAAGAAGGAAGGAGATGCCTGAAAGACAATTAGCAGTGAATACTTGAGGCTTTAGTGTCACCAAACCAGGCTTGTGAGCTCACTAAACGAAGTGGGCAATCTCGAGCATTTGCTTGCCTGCTGAGTGCAGTCTGGGGCATGGGCCCACTAAATGAAGTGGGCAATCTCGAGCATTTGCTTGCCTGCTGAGTGCAGTCTGGGGCATGGGCCCATCAGCCTTTATGTCTGCTGTCTGTTCGAATGGAAGGAGCAAGGCTGAGGGTGTGGCCAGGAGATGACCTCACATCCACCAGTGAGACATCAGGGGTGAGTTTTCTGCTACAGCACTGTGTCTAATAGAGGGAGGACGGATGTGCCCTTTGTCCATCTGGCTGGCAGTGCAGCAACCTGTGCCCGTCTTTGTTTTCACCTCTGCTCACTGTGATCGTCCTGTCTGGCTGTGTCGTTGCTGTCAATTTAAGACCATGATTCTCCTGGCAAGTGCTTTTATGATAGAAGACACATGAAGGTGTCGTTTTCCTGGGCTTAATTAACCTTGAGACCAGGAGCACAGCCCCTTAATTACGTTTGTGCATAACCCTGCAAGCACACAGCAGTAAGGGGCCACTAACATGGCTGTCACCGCCTTGTCCCACCTGTCGGATCCATAATCTGGGGTATTGTTAGGCAATGATTTTCATCCTGTACATGGGTGGCTCTGCATTCTGAGTTCACATGACAAAGTTCTGAGCATTGGGAGGGCTCTTCTTATGCAAACACATAGAGCTGAATTCCTTTTAACTTAAAAACAAAACAAGCAAGCAAACCAAAAAATCAAAGCAAACCAACTTCCTTTCCCTCCCCTACTATAGCTTCTTGACCCAGAACTAAGAAAGCGAACACAATGATGATCATGACTGTGATAGTGGGAACCAGCAGAATATATTTCTTCTGCTACTGTTTCCACAGCATATAAATTGAATCTCGTCTCAAACTGAGTCTGTTCTCTCTTTCTTTTTTTAATATAAAGCGAACTGAGCCGAAGGTATTTCACAGATTAAATAAGGTACTAGAAAACTTTTGACTGTCGTATGCTGGGTCTGATCAGACAGGGCTGAAGTGGTTTGAGGCAGGGGATTGGAGTGGTAAAGGTTTGTGCTCGGTTAGGAATAGTGGTGAGGTGGAAGCAGTGGATGCGAAGTTGCAGATGGTGTGAAGAGTCAAAACTTCCAAAGATAAGTGGGAGACACAAGTCTAACAACACAGAGAAACAGATGCAGACAAAGGATTTGGAACCGGCAGTGTCAGAACTGTGAGGGATAAGTATCCATCCTCTCTGCAGTTGGATCGGATCTGTGTAAGAGAAATTAGTCACGTGTAAACGTGAAAAGTCAATGGAGGCTGATATTGTCAAGTGTATGGTCCCACTGTGCCCTTACCTATCATACTGAGAGAAGGTGCAGCATCTGTCCAATATTCTAAGAATTCCATGATTGCTAGTTTTCCAAGGGATGCTAGGACAAGTGGAAAAAAAGCCTGACATATCCCTCCCCCTACCCCGATCAAGTCCCCCTCCCTGTGGACACCCAACTACAAACAATTTCCAACACTTTACAATCATCGACAATTTCTAACCAGTGGCCCTATTGCCTTATGTTATGCTAGGTAATCTCAGAGTTTCTGCACACAAAGTTTTGCTTCGAACCTAGAACCATAAGGGCAAGCCTATCACACCATCATGTGTAACTGAAACACAGGCTTGGCGCCCATCATTTACTCAATAAGTACCTCATGAATAACAGGCCTGCCCTATACTGTAGAAGCATGCGGTTCATTCATCGCAGGTAACAGAGCTTACACAATCTGAAGTTTTGTTCTGGAGATAGACATCTATCTGTCATGGGATGCAGGATTGTCAACAACCACAGGGGACAAATGCAGTCTGGAGTGCAAGAACACCTGAAGCTGAGATTCTGCCGAAAAATCCCAGCACATGGAAGGCGAGTAGGAGATTAGGAAAGATGATGGGAGGGAGGGATAAGTGACTTTGCTCCCATAGGAGAGATGAACGCTTGTTTCTCAATTACTTTTCTACAGGGAAAAGCACCAAGATATTACCAAGGACTAAATACCAACTCTGCTTCCTTCGACTTCTGAAATATACCCGCAGAATTGAGGACCACAGACAGCTTGCTGTCTGAAATACACTTAGGTTTAAGAGCTATTGCATTAGTTCTGCTCAAAGTGATGCCTATAACGGAGGCAGAAAGCCTTTGGGGATGCTGGTATGATTTGTTTGTTTTTGACTTTGGTAAGATGGACTCAAGATGGAAGAATAGGAAAGTCATAGACTTCTGTATTCACTTTTAGAATAGGAGACCTTCTTGAATATCTTTGTTTCCTGCTGAAGTTAAGAAATTACACACGATATAGTCTAAATAAATATTTGTCTTAAGTATGGCTGTTAACAAATTATATTTCCAAAGTTGGTGTTATCACGCCTCCTGCATGAACTGAATTGGCTCTCCTCAAAATTGTAGTTTTCACAATATGAATTATTACCATGCAACGGATTCTGCTAGCATGCGGTTTTGATTTAACCTTCAAATCTACCCCTCTCTGTGTTGTAAATGGATCATGTAGAGATAGTTATGCTGGTTAATTTAAAGAGTATAAGATGTTAAGCTGCCCATGGTTTATCTATTCCAAGAAAATTTAGAAGGAGGCTACAAATCACCATGGTGACATAGCACATCATGGTCCTTAGGGGATAAGATACTACAAACCTTTTCTAATGATTTACAAATCTCCCAAATGAATTGTCATATTGACACTGCTCAGGCTAGAGTGGGGAAGAATTGTTCTCCACTGTTCCACAGGCTGTAGCAGAGGGGGATGTCACGGTAGTACTATGCCCGGTAGCAAGCAGTGACTCTCGCCGTACTTACTGTACTGTCAGTTCTTCACTTGCTTGATATTTTTAAAAGTGAGATACTCCTTGTATTCCTCAAGAGCCTTACTAAAATAAGATTTACTTTTCGACAGAAATGAGACAGAGAGTATTTCTGAATAATCCTGATTTGTCCCTTTATAACTCTAAGACACAGTGCTCAGATTCTTAGGCACTCTCAGTGTATCGTTTGGAAGCAAGTATCTGAATCCTATGAGCATCCAGTTGCTGTAGCTCTCTTTCAGAGGCCAGAGCGAGGGCTCCTGTCTCCAGAAAATGCAACACCGCAACTTCAACTTCTCTCACTCAATAATCTCAGAACCTTGTCGTGACAGCAAGACTCTGAATGTTGTAGGCTGAAACCGTAGCCATGACAATGGGAAACTTTCAGCTTTTAAAAATTCAAGACCCACAAAGTCTACCACTGATTTATTAGATCATAGTTAAGATCGAACTTCTTAAATTTATTTTTGTTAATTATTAAAATTAAATAATTCTGTACCAGATTCTGAAGGCTCCCATTATCAGCGAAGTTCTTTCTCTGGATAATGTTACAGACTTGTAAAGACGGTCCTGTATGTTTGTATTAAAGAGAAGAGGTGAATAAATGATTATCTCATGTTTCAACCCTGCAGCCCCCTGTGGCTCACAGATGCAGTTTCTCTTGTGGCTGATGTACAGCAATTTTGTGCCATCTCTTGGAATTATCCGTACCTTTTTAATAATGCAAGGTACTCTTGGGACCTAATTTCTCCCTTAAATAATTCATAATGCATGCTTTGTATTAAATGAACAATTTTAATGAGAAACCATATCTATTTGACTGGGGAATAATTGTTGATTCAATTTGAATGTTATTTTGAATGAAGTTGCCTTGGATTAACAAGGTTCTGCTATATTGTTTTCTTGTTTGTATCCCAACCTTATTTTTGGTAATAATTGTCTTACATCATTGCAAGTTGAGTAGGTGACAGGGAATGGGGAGAATAAACTCTAGATAAAGTAATGGAAAATGGACAGGGAAAACAAATTGTATACAAACACTAACTTGCTTGAGTATCTTTCAATTCTTGGCAAACTAGAGAGTTTATGAATAATAGTTGTATCAGGTTTGTTCTTCAGTATAGAAAAGAAATGAGATTCTTATGATACTGATCCATTATTTTGGCAATTACTTATCGGTCAAACTTTTACGTGTATCTGTGATCATTGGAAAATGATACTAAGCAATATAATACAAAATGTGATACAATAAAAATCATGTTTAATGCATTAGTAAATATTGAATAATTATAAAATCCCATTGTGCAGAGCTGTGCTGATGTGTGCCTTTCTCTTGAGACAATGCTTATGGCATAATCAATACCAAATATTTGTTGAATAGATAGTGGTTAAAATCACAGGATCAACAGAGGAGTCAATGATGATGAAGCTATAATTAATAAACCCTACCACACATAGAGGGATTATGAGAACATCAGGTCAAAAAAATTCACATACGCTAATTTTTATATTTTATTGCTTTATTAAGGCAAACATGCTGATATTATATATTATTTTATATCATGTTATTTTTGTTATGTATGTGATCATTATAAATACCTAAACTAACATTTTAATTGGCTCCTTTATTTATCTTCAAACCAAGCATGTTTAAGGTTTATTTATTTAGATATTTTCAAGAATGTACTTTAATACTATTAATTACTTGCACAGTGATTTATAATAAATCTAAAGAGCATTTTTATTCTCTGTAAAGTTTTTTTTACCCTTTGGCCATGTTTTCTGATGTCTCACTCTCCAATCATTCTCTGGCAACCAACATTATACTCTCAGCTACTATGAGTACAACTTTTATTAGATTCTGCAAGCAAGGAAGATCACATGGTATTTGCTCTTCTTTGCCTGGCATACTCATAAACACGAAATGCTTCACATTTTTCCATATTTGCAAATAAGAGGGTTTCACTATGTAAGGACACATAGTACTATATAATTTATATGTATCACTCCGCACTTATAAATCTGTCAGCATTTATTTAGGATGATTTTTATATATTGTCTATTGTAATGAACATGAGAAAGCAAACATCTGTTTAGAAATTGATTGTGTCTCCTTTAAATATATACTCAGAGGTGGGATTGCTGTATCATATTGTAGCTTCTAATTTTTTAAAAGAAACCTCTGTACCCTGTCCCAAGGGGCTGTATTAATTTAAATCCCCACTGACTGGTGAACAAAACTTCTCTTTTCTTCTCCATCTAGATGATACTGATCTTTTTTTCTAATAACCATTCTAATAGGTGCAATATATATATATATATATGGCATAATCAATACCAAATATTTGTTGAATAGATAGTGGTTAAAATCACA